AATGACTTGGAGTTGAAAAACACAGCAAAAGAACCACGTGAAGCAAACACAAGTTTTAATAGCTGAATTGATCAAGCAGAAGAAAGGATATCAGAAATTGAAGATCAACTCAGTGAAATAAAAAGAGAAAGCAAGACAAGAGAAAAAGAGAGTGAAAAATAATAAACAAAGCCCCCAAGAAATATGGGATTATGTGGAAAGACCTAACCTATGCTTGACTGGTGTACCTGAATATGGGGAGAATGAATCCAAGCTGGAAAACACCCTCCAGGATTTTATCCAGGAGAACTTCCCAAGCCTAGCAAGGCAGTCCAAATTTCAAATTCAAGAAATACAGAGAATTCCACAAAGATATTCCTCAAGAAGAGCAACCCTAAGGCACATAATTGTCAGATTCACCAGGGTCGAAATGAAGGAAAAAATGCTAAGGGCAGCCACAGAGAAACGTCAGGTCACCCACAGAGGGAGGCCAATCAGACTCACAGCAGATCTCTTGGCAGAAACTCTACAAGCCAGAAGAGAGTGAGGGCCAATATTCAACATCCTTAAAGAAAAGAACTTTCAGCCCAAAATCTCATATCCAGACAAACTAAGCTTCATAAGTGAAAGAGAAATAAAATCCTTCAAGAACAAGCAATTATTGAGAGATTTTTGTCACCACCAGACCTGCCCTACAAGAGCTCCTAAAAGACACACTAAGCATGGAAAGGAACAACTGCCAGTCACTGCAAAAGCAAACTAGTAGGCAAAGACCAAAAATATAATGAAGAAAATGAGTCAACTAATGGGAAAGAAAACCAGTCCATAACAAAATGGCAGGATCAAATTCATAAATAACAACAGAAATATTTAATGTAAACAGCCTAAACACCCCAATCAAAAGACACAGACTGGAAAACTGGATTAAAAAGTCAAAACCCATTGGTGTGCTGGACTCAGGAAACCCATCTCACATACAAAGAAACACATAGACTCAACATAAAGGGATGGAAGAAGATTTATCAAGCAAATGGAGAACAACAACAACAAAAAGCAGGGGTTGCAATCTTAGTCTCTGATAAAATGGACTTCAAAGATCAAAAGAGACAAAGAAGGGTATTACATAATGGTAAAAGGATCAATCCAACAAGAAGAGCTAACTATCCTAAATACATATGCACCCAACACAGAAGCACCCAGATAAATAAAGCAAGTTCTTAACGACCTAAAATGAGATTTAGACTCCCACACAATGACAGTGGGAGACTTCAACACTGCACTGTCAATATTAGATCAATGAGACAGAAAATTAACAAGGATATCCAGGACTTGAATGCAGACCTGGACCAAGTGGATCTAATAGACATATACAGAACGCTCCACCCCAAAGCCACAGAATATACATTTTTCTCAGCACCACATTGCACTTACTCTAAAATTGACCACATCATTGGAAGCAAATCACACCTCAGCAAATACAAAAGAACAGAAATCATGCTGATAACAAAACCAGGCAGAGAATCAACTGAAAAAAAAAAACTTCAGGCCAATATCCATGATGAACATTGATGCAAAAATCTTCAGTAAACTACTGGCAAACGGATTGCAACAGCACATCAAAAAGCTTACCCATCACGATCAAGTAGGCTTCATCCTGGGGATACAAGGCTGGTACAACATAGGCAAATCCATAAACGTAATCCATCACATAAACTGAACCAAAGACAAAAACCACGATTATCTGAACAGATGCAGAGAAGGCCTTTGATAAAATTCAACAGCCTTCATGCTAAAAACTCTCAATAAACTAGGTATTGACCAAATGTATCATAAAATGATAAAAGCTATATATGACAAATCTACAGCCAATATCATACTGAATGGGCAAAAGCTAAAAGCATTCCCTTTGAAATCTGGCACTAGACAAGGATGCCCTCTCTCACCACTCGTATTCAATATAGTATTAGAAGGTCTAGCCAGAGCAATCAGGCAAGAAAAAGAAATAAAGCGTATTCAATTAGGAAAGAAGAAAGTCAAACTGTCTCTATTTGCAGATAACATAATTGTATATCTAGAAGACCCCTCGTCTCAGCCCAAAATCTTCTCAAACTGATAAGCAACTTCAGCAAAGTCTCAGGATACAAAAATCAATGTGCAGAAATCACAAGCATTCCTATATACCAATAACAGCCAAACAGCCAAATCAAGAGTGAACTACTATTCACAATTGCTACAAAGAGAATAAAATACCTAGGAATACAACTAACAAAGGATGTGAAGGATGTCTTCAAGGAGAACTACAAACCACTGCTCAATGAAATAAGAGGACACAAACAGATGGAATAACATTCCAGGCTCATGGTTAGAAAGAATTATTATCATGATAATGGCCATGCTGCCCAAAGTAATCTATAGATTCAATGCTATCCCCATCAAGCTACCAATGACCTTCTTTGCAGAACTGGAAAAAAATCACTTTAAACTTCATGTGAAATCACAAGAGAGTCCACATAGCCAAGACAATTCTAAGCAAAAAGAACAAAGCAGGAGGCATCACACTGCTGGACTTAAAACTATACTACAAGGCTACAGTAATCAAAACAGCATGGTACTGCTACCAAAACAGAGACATAGACCAATGGAACAGAACAGAGGCACCAGAAGAAACGCCACACATCTACAACCATCTGATCTTTGACAAACCCGGCAAAAGCAAGCAATGGGGAAAGGACTCCATGTTTAATAAATGGTATTGGGAAAACTGGCAAGCAATGTGCAGAAAGCAGAAACTGGACCCCTTCCTGACACCTTATACTAAAATTAACTCCAGATGGATTAAAGATTTAAACATAAAACCTAACACCATAAAAACCCTAGAAGAAAACCTAGGCAATACCATTCAGGACACAGGCATAGGCAAGGACTTCATGACTACAATACCAAAAGCAATGGCAATAAAAGCCAAGATAGACAAATGGGCTCTAACTAAAATTCAGAGGTTCTATATAGCAAAATAAACCATCATTAGAGCAAATCAGCAACCAACAGAATGGGAAGAAAATTTTGCCATCTACCCATCTGACAAAGGCTAATAACCAGAATCTACGATGAACTAAAACAGATATATAAGAAACAACAACCCCATTCAAAAGTGAGCAAAAGATATGAACAGATACTTTTCAAAAGAAAACATATATCAAGCCAACAAACATATGAAAAAATGCTCATCATCACTGGTCATTAGAGAAATGCAAATCAAAACCACATTGAGATATCATCTCACACCAGTTAGAATGGGGATCATTGAAAAATCTGGAGACAACAGATGCTGGAGAGGATGCGGAGAAATAGGAACACTCTTACACAGTTGGTGGGAGTGTAAACTAGTTCAACCATTGTGGAAGACAGTGCGGTGATTTCTCAAGGATCTAGAAAGGGAAATTCCATTTGAGCCAGCAATCCCATTACTGGGCATATACCCAAAGAACTATAAATCGTTCTACTATAAAGACACATGCACACATATATTCACTGCAGCCCTCTGTACAATAGCAAAGACCTGGAACCAACCCAAATGCCCATCAATGATAGACTGGACAAGGAAAATGTGGTACATATACACCATGGAATACTATGAAGCCATAAAAAAACGATGAGTTCGTGTCCTTTGTAGGGAGTTGGATGAATCTGTAAACCACCATTCTCAGCAAACTGACACAAGAACAGAAAGCCAAACACCGCATGTTCTCACTCATAGGAGGGTGTTGAACAATGAGAACACGTGGCCTCAGGGAGAGGAGCATCACACACTGGAGGCAGTTGGAGAGGGTAGGGGAGAGACAGCGGGGGGTAGGGAGGGAGTGGAAGGTGGGGAGGGATAACATGGGGAGAAATGCCAGATATAGTATGCACCTAAAGTTAAATAAATTTTTTAAAAAATTAAATAAATAAAACTTTATTTTTAACAATGCTTTCTGCTATAACCCAAACTTCCTAACTTTGGCAGGGGCAATAAGCAAATATCAACCAGAAGAACATATAAAAGGGACATAGGATCTATCTCAAGTTCCCAGGACACCCAGAGCCTTCTCAGGGGGATAATGGAATAAGGAAAAACTTCTGGGGGCCTTGACCTGCCTCTGCTACTAGCTGGCTCAGTGATCTTAGACAATCCACCTAAATCTATTTCACATACCTCCTTAGCACATGAGCTAACTTCCTGGATTCCTGTTTCCTGATTTGTAAAATGTGGAGATCTACTAGATCTAAGTTTTGCCCAGATGCTCTCTAGCTCAAAATTTTATAAGTAAAAGCAAAGTACTTTAGGAAAGTCCTCCCTAAACATTCTATACATGAACATGGCATCTTAAGATATTTTAAATTACTATAAACAGTAAGGTTTCTTGCATAAAATTTAGAAAATAAATTTAATTGAGCAACAATTAAAATGAAATGACCCATAAGAACCAATTTCCAATTACAGCACCAATCTTGACTAAGCTCAGAGCAAAGGAGAACAAGCAGAGCCCAGGGACTTAAGGAGGTATCTGGGTTCCTTCTGAGGTATGAGGGTAAGGAAGAACTCATGGTCCTATCACTCCAAAGGCAGCTGCTTAAAGCTTTGGCTTTTTTCTTTCCAGATAGCTTTCAATGCAGGATGATTAAGTCATGCTGGTTATCATTTTAATGCTACATTAAATTTTTAAGATTACATGTGATCGTTAACTTAATTAATTTCCCAATTATTTATTGACAGTAGTAGGAAATCTAAAACCAATGGCAGTGTGCTGCAATAAGCATGCTTGTATACAGTTTGGTGTACCTCTGCTCAGGTAACTCAAGATAAATTCCTAGAAGTAGAATGGTTAGATGGAAATGTAGGAGCATTTTAAAAGATTTTGGATGACTTTTGTGAATGATCCTCCAGAAAATTCAGATCAATTTACATGCCCAGTAGCTGTTCAGGCATGTATTTCCATGTTATATTTAGGACACGTGATGTGGAACACCTGGGACAGAGCTCAAATTCTTCCTGAGATATTACCTCTGCAACGTTTTACCAGATAAATCCGAAGAGCAGCCAAACTCAGAAGAGCTACAGGAACTGCCAGAATCAGACAGTACACCAAAATCTGTAAACTTCTGTCACAGGAAGCGGTTTCTTGGCTTGATTCTAAATAAAACAGAGAAACAAAGTCTGTGAACTGGAAGAAAAATTACCAAATAAGAAATGTATGGGTGGGTGAGGGTGGAGTATGTTTACTATTTTTAAAACGAGTTGTTTCTGCATTACAGGTAGGAGGCTGAATTCATATGAAGACATTTTACACAATAAAAAGGTCCTTTAGGATAAAGCCAAGAGCCCAGACTGGATAGGAGAGTTTGTCATGAGCATAAATATCTCCCAGTCTCGGTGTATCTATTGTGGAAAAACTCCAGATACCATAATATTATTGGAGATTGGTGGGGCTTGGGGGAGCTGGGAGAAAAGTCTGAAAACTGGAGAGGCAATAAGTCTATTATGGATTTTCAGTTTCTATTGCTTTGTACTGTAAAACATTTTTATAAAGGAGTAATTATGTCCATAAACTAGCCTCAGTGAGGATGAAGTAAGAGTGCAGTCCACCACTAGCTTAGAGAAGACAGGGTCCTAAGGGAACAGTGATAAGTTCAGAGGTGATAAAAGGAGCTGAGCAGAAGCCATGGTCTTGAGTTAGAGGTGACAGGTGACCACAGAGATAATAGGCACAGTAGTCCCCACTTATCCATGGGGGATACATTCCAAGACCCCCAAGTGGATGCCTGAAACCTTAGAACCAAACCCTATGCATACTATGCACTAATTTCTCTTTCCATTTTCACAGTTTTATAGATAAAAGATTTGTTCTTACTGTAGATCTTAGCAACCTCGACATATACTTTCCCCCAAGCCTCCACCCCACTGAGAGCTTTCACTTAAAGGAGGCACTTTGCGGCTTCTCTTTGGTGTATCCGAATCACCAGCATCATTATTCTTGTGCTTTGAGGCCAAGTAAAATAAGGGGTACTTCAACACAAGCACTGCTATTTCATGACAGGAGGTCTGACTCCCTGGAGGGCTAAGTGACTAATAGGCAGGTAGCATCCGCAGTGTGACATGCTGGACAAAGGGAGGATTCACATCCAAGGCAAGATGGAGCCAGATGACATGCGATTTCATCACGCTACTCAGCATGGCACACAATCTAAAATTGCTTATTTCTGGAATTTTCCTTTTAAAAATTTCAGATTGTGGTTGACAAACTACAGCAAAGGAGGACCTGCTGATGGTGTTTGGAGCTCCTCAGAAATAACTGGAGGAGCCTAAACCTTCTCTAGCATCTCAGTCAGGACTAGATTTGTTGAAATTAGTATTATTCAACAATTAATGGAAGTGGGGACTCCAGAGACCCTGAGTTACCAAAGTCAGAACCCTGCTAACCTTGTGATCTATGTTCTACTAAAATATGGGCAGCAAGCATTTCAGCACAAAGGCCAATTCAGGGGGGAAATGTTTGTGGCTATCCTTTAAAATGAATAGCTCTGTTTATATAACAAATGTCATTTTCTATGAACATATTATAGTGTTTTACAACTAATAAATATTAATCTTTCCACATCTTTGTATCATTCAGAAATTCTATACAGGAGTCCCCTTTACCAACATGGTTTCACTTCCTGAGGTTTCAGTTACCCGTGGTCAACTATAGTCCAAACATAACCAAATGGAAAATTCCAGGAATAAAAAACTCGTAAGTTTTAAATTGCATGCCATTCTGTGTACGTGATGAAATGTGTTGTGCCCCTCCATCCCACCTGGGACATGACTGTACCTTTTGTCCAGCATATCCATGTTGTACACACTACTGCCATGAGTCATTTAGTAGCCATCTCAGTTTTCACATTGACCGTCACAGCATAACAATACTTGTGTTCAAGTAACCCTTATTTTCTTTAAGAATGGTCCCAAAGCACAAGAGAAGTGATGACGGCAATTTAGATATACCAAAAAGAACCCATAAAGAACTTGCTTTAATGAAACAATTAATGCTCCTGACTTAAGAAAAACCACATATTGGGGTTGCTAGATCTATGGTGAAAATGAATCTTCTATCTGTAAAATTGTGAAGAAAGAAAAAAGAAAATACATTAGTTTTGATTTCACACCTCAAACTACAACAATTATGGCCACAGTGTGTTATATGTGCTCACTTAAGATGGAGATGGCATTAAATTTGAGGGTGGAAGACATGAACAGAAATGTGTTCTGGTTGACAATATGTTGCACTGGAAAGCCTTGGACTTACATGAAGACTTCAGCAAGAGATTCCTTGAAACAGGCCATTTACTGCAAGTAGAGGATGGCTACACAGATTTAGAAATATGCTTGGACTGAAAAATATAAAAATTACTGGGGAGGCTGTGTCTGCTGCTGCTGAAGCTACAGCCACATTTCTGTCCAAAGCAAGTATTTAATTGCAATGAAAACAAGCTCTGCTAGAAGATGTCCAGTAGCACCTACATTCACTGAAGTGTGAATGAGGCACCGAGGCATAAACATGGAAGAACAGATTAATCCTGGTACCTTGTGGAAATGCATATATAGGGTTTGGTACTGTCCATAGTTTCAGGAATCCACTGAGGCTCTTGGAACATATTCCCCATGGAAAGGGGGGACTACTGTACCTATATAAATGAGAGATTAAGTAGAAATGTTAGATTAACTTTCTAAAGTGTTTTCATATGTATATTTCTTCCTCCTAAAGGAAATCCTGCAAGGTATAGCAGCTACTTCTCACTGCACTCATGACCCTCAGGTTCCCCCATCTGTAAAGATACTTGCCTAAGGTCACATACTGATTCAGCATCAAAACTTAGCAAGAATTATTTAATTCCATTCAGCTTAGCGCAGTCTTAATAGAGCAGGTCTAGATTCAAGGAATCATAAGTACCCCTATCTTGTTGTAGCACCTCCTGGGAAAGGCAGCAAATGGAAAAGTCACAATTCAGAATAGGAAACCAAGTTCCTTGAAAGGATGATATTTACCGGTACCAAGACTGTTTTGCCCTGTTCCCTGCCCTGCTGAGGTGGCGGGGAAGGGTGAGCACACCCTCCCCTAGCCCCACCTGGCCAACGTTTACTTGAGAATGAGAGGTTCTAAAAATACTCTTTTGTTAGAGATGGAATGGTCCTGATGATGTTTCACTTTTTGTGAACTGAAAATTAGATCTTTGGGTGGGAAGATGGGCCATATGTGGTCTTTAGGATGTTTCTTCTTGACTTTTTTTTTTTTTTACACTCCAAAATGAATCCAACATGAGGCAACATTTTTAAAAATAGATTGCAGGCTTAACTGTATTTTACATAAAACTGACACTTTTATTTTTGGAGAAAAATAGGAGCTTCAAATGCGGCCCCAGTTTTTCATTCTCTACTCTCAAAGTGGCAGCTCTATAAAGGGAGTGTTATTACTCAATGTCCAGAAGCTTCTATGTGTTTGAAGATCCCATAACCTAAAGGACACCTCTGTGCTCTTAGCGCCAAATCTCACTACATAGAATCACCAAAACTTCAAATGTTATTTCTCCTAATTGAAATGATAGAAATATTTCTAAAACGTGAGTTCTACTGGTTCAAATATCTTTACTGAAGGACAGAAAAAGTTGCCATGATTTGCCATGATGTGAAGTTGATAGTTTAAGGGTGGGATAATCCAGCTCACCTAGAAGGTCAGCTGCATGAGTATATATTCCGTGATTCAATGGTAAGTTGACTAGAAATATTTTTGGCAGTGAACTATCAAGAGAGGTAAAAATGAATGGAACAAGGAATATATATATATTTGGTGCTTCAAATATTGTGGTGACTGTTTCCCAGTCCATAGACACTGTCATGTTTTCCCAGCATTCTTCAGGACCCCAATTGTAATTTCCTAATGTGCCTCTGGCCTTGACTTCCCAAATCCCAGGCCTAAGGTACATATTAGGCACAGCAGTGAGCAGAAATGGAAGATACTCAGCCCATAGAGTCATCAAAATGTATGTTTCCTCTTCATTTCTGAAGCCCCAAAATCCTAAAAAAGAAATCTGTGGGAATATTTTTTTTTTTTTTCAAAACAGGACTTTTGTGTAGTTGAAGGAGAGGGTAATCAACATCCTGACCAGAAATATCCCTGTAGATTATATTTTGAGAGGGTATCAATGTAAAGTATTCTTGAAAAGTCAACGTTATTTTCTGTTTGATATTCACAAACCTCCAATGGTACAGCCAAAACCCATTATCCAAACCTACTTACAGCTTACCTACATGCACTGTGTGGATGGTGAGTAAAGTATATTCGTCTGAAGAAATATTGCATAAATATTCCCCACTGTCTGAAAGATGAAGATGCATCAAATTCATAGAGAAGTCACCCTGGTTTATCAGCTCTTCATTCCATGAGAATCGGGGTTCACTGATAGTTGTATTCTGTGAGGAGCTCAGATAGCAAGCAAGGACAGAGAAAGTCCCATTTTCCACTCTGGACCAAGTAACTTTGAAGTCTTGGTTTGGTGAAAAATAATCATTTACAAGTTGACATGGGAGTGAAACGTTTTCACTTTGTGTTTTATGAAGGCCATCTAACAACAGAATAGAAAAGAAAACATCAATGAAGATAAACATTTCAAAAGAATTTTCTATGTTACACTTAGAAAGCAGGGAACAAAGGTGCTAATACTAATGTCTTTGCAAATAACTTTTTGGAAAGTAATTAGATATTTGTGCTGTGGTTTCTTAAAAAGCAAATTTTACTATCCCTATTTTAAAGTTTCCCACCAAGGTTAGTTTAGACCTTCAAGAAGGGCTAAGCCAGAACTAGCTAGAGGGGTGATGCACTTGTTTTAACTCGGAACCTGACAGCACTCAGAAATAAGCTTGGACTGAAAAATATAAAAAATACTAGAGAGGCTGTGTCTGCTGATGATGAAGCTACAGCCACATTTCCATCCAAAGCAAGTCTTTAATTGCAATGAAAACAAGCTCTGCTGGAAGAAGATGCCCAATACAACCTGCATTCATAGAAGTGTGAATGAGGCCCCGAGGCATGCTGCTACCAATTACTAGCTGATTAAACTCAATGTTCTCCTTCTGTTGGCCCCTCAAATGCTGATGTTCCCCAGAACACCTCCGTTTGTTACCCTACCTGCTCTAGTGGTCTCTAACTTCTATGGCCTCACTACTTCTTAATCTCTTTGTCTAGACAAAATCTTTTTCTGCATGTAAGAATATTTACAGTTAGGCCGGGCGTGGTGGCTCAAGCCTGTAATCCCAGCACTTTGGGAGGCCGAGGCGGGTGGATCACGAGGTCAAGAGATTGAGACCATCCTGGCCAACGTGGTGAAACCCCGTCTCTACTAAAAATACAAAAAAAAATTAGCTGGGCATGGTGGCTCGTGCCTGTAATCCCAGCTACTCAGAGGTTGAGGCAGGAGAATTGCCTGAACCCAGGAGGCGGAGGTTGTGGTGAGCCGAGATCGCGCCATTGCACTCCAGCCTGGGTAACAAGAGCGAAACTCTGTCTCAAAAAAAAAAAAAAAAAAAAAGAATATTTACAGCTGTGTGCAGGCAACCCCCACTGAACTGAGCCCTTTTAGAAGAAGGACTCTGCCGGATTTTCTCAGCTTGCCCCTGCAGACCCAGCTCCATCTTGTCCTTTCTGTTGTGTAGTGCTGTAGGCTGACCTCTGCGGAGTATCCTGGATTATTCTCCCTGGCTCTAGACTCGCCTGCCTTCCAGTCTACCTGCTGAAGAGTGATGCCAAAGCAAGCCTTCGGAAAAGGAAATCCAGGGCCTCGCTGATGCTTCAGATCCGTCTTTGGATCCATCCTACCTCCAAGACTCAACAAGCTTCTTACCAAGGTGTAGAAGGTCTTTCGTCTGTTTTTTTCCTCCCTCTCTAGGTACATCTCTTGATCTGTTGATTCCACAAAATCCAGGCAATTTTACTTTTCTATGCTTTTTACCTGGACTATTCTTGTTCTCCTGGAATGTCCTGCTACTCTTCTAAAATTCTGCCCGTATGCAACTTTCTTAAGCACATATTCTGTAACAACCCCATTCATGTCCGACCACAGAGAATAGAATTAATCACTCCCTTTGTAAGCTGTGTTCCTAGTTTAATTTTTACATTTGTACTAGCGGCTGTGGATCCCGAAATCAGTAAAGACCATGTTCTTAAGTTCACAGTCTGTGAGCAACAAAACTTGGCACATAATGGCTTTTCAGTGGGACCAAACAGTACTGAGCCCAAAGAACTGTTCATGCTTCAAGACACTCAATTCTAAATGAACATGAGAAATTAGGATTTTCCAAGAAAAATATTTATAATATTAACATTTGCAACTCTTTCCCATGTTTCCATTGCTGCCTGCCTGATGGAAAATGATCATTGGGTACTCATGCCTTTAACACTAACTCAGTAAATGTGGTGAATCACCAACAATTTCAGTATGTTTTTGGTGAGCATTTTGAGAATGTGAGATGCTAGGAAAGAGAAGGCTGAAAAAAATAGCTAACCTCCATTTTCCCTCTAAAGGGAGAGTGATGGAAAATTTTGGCTTTGTTACAAATAAAATGTAGAAGAAATTTTCTTGAAATTTATATGGGGATAGCAAATAAAGTTTTATTAAACAGTAGGTTTTGGATATAGAGATTGATCAGAGTTTGGATTTGTTCAAATAAATGAGAGGAAAGAGTGCTAAAAACTGACCGTGTTGTGATAGAGGTGTTGGATAGAGGTGGATGGGCTAATACTATGTAAAGAAACTAAAAAGAAGCAATAATAATAATTAATATTTTGTTTAATTGAAAGATTGGAAGTTGTAATCTGCTGAGAGACAAGTATTCTTTCTCCTTTGAGCTTTTAAAGAGCAATGCTGGTAGAAAATCCTGTTTGAAGGATGGGCCATTGAGAAAAGCACCAATATTCAAGGATAGATTTGCTTCTTTACATTTCACAAATGTTTTCATTCAATTCACAAATACCTAGCAAGGTAAGAATTACTTCTGTTTTATCAGTGAGGTACTAATGTTCAAAAGTAAGAACGATGGCTTAATGTAATACAGCCAGTAAGAACTAGCCCTAGGGCTCCGGTCTCGGTCTTCTAACTGCTGCAGATGGATTTGCTTTCTTTTCTTTCATCTTCCTTTGTTTCCTTGTAAATCAGTCCCCATTTCCTCCCAACCTCGACATATCCCATGTACACAGAAAGTCCTGTGGAGCCTACCTTTCATTGTCCAGCGCCCTGTCCATGTTTGGTTCAGCAGTGAATTTTCGATTGTACATTCATAAGATGAATGTGATCCTGTAACATTCAGTATGCTGTTAATAGAAAAAGAGCCCAAAGACCCTGTTTCTTCCATGTTGTTTTCAGGGATAGGTGTGTTGTCCATTTTCCACGTGATAATTGGATGAGGATAAACACTTAACACACTGCATATTAAGAAGCTGTTTGTGTTCTTCTTTTCGTACTTCATCACGGGTGTGAGAAAAACTGCACAGGAGAAAGAAGGGCACACGAAGAACTGCCATCATTAGCTTCTTGAGGGCCATCTGTGCAGAATACTTTCTAATACCCATGAAATGGAAAGCTAAGTTTTATGAGCGAAACTTGGCAGTTACTGAAAGGAAAAAAACCCCAAAACTCTGTAGAACCTAAAGATACAGTGTAGTTATCTAGAAAAAATAAAAAAGAGCAGGTATGGGTATGTGGCAATTAGCAATCTCAATTCTCTAGAAACAGAGCTGGGAAAGAAATCTAATGGCCTCGTTGAGCAACCAAAATGAGGGTGTCTAAGTCTATAAAGTAGAGTTCATGTGGCATTCTACACTCCACAAATACTCACTCAGAGCGCCTATTTGACTCTTTGTTTACACATAATTTTGTGATTTATGAATCAAGGACTGAAGCAGCTGAAAGGGACAGAAGAGAAAGAAACAAGTGCTGGGAAAAACAATCCATTAGAAAATACTGCATACGTGTGTGTATATATCTCGATATAAAATTGTACTATATATTATACTACATACTAACTATATTACATATACGTTAATAATCAGCAGCCTGATCATTAACAGAGCACATCATTCAGGAACTCTTGGTAATCTAGTAATTAGAAACCACGAAACGCTGTGAGTTTCTTCAATTTTAATCAAATACCTGTTTGGTTCAATATAACTGTGTGAATTAGAAACAGTTAATATATTATTTAGTTATGTTAACTATTTAATATAACCACCATGAAGCTGTGTTTGAGTGATATTAACTGTATATAACTATACATGTTAGCTATATTAACGGCTTAGAGTTATAGTTATATAGGTATAGTGTTTTATATAGTTAAGACAGAAGGAAAGCATATAATGTAAAAATTAACCTCATTTATAATACAGAAAAATGCAATTTAAATCACCAATTCAATATTTTTTCAGTCATCATATCAGCAGATACTTGGTACTGATACAACTAAGGGGAAAGTGGATACCCTTAGACTGCTGGTGTTGGTAATGTATTTAAATCTTCTGGTACTTTGCTTTCAGGTTATTTCCCAGTATTAAGTAGAACTACAAGGATGTTCATCACAACTATGTAATGTAAAACACTGGAAATGCCTGAATATCCACCAACAGGGGAACAGCTGTATCATTTATAACATTAGTATACTACAAGATGCTGTGCATTTAGAAACAAGTAGATTTCTATGTATTAACTTGGAAGGATGCTCATGGCATATTAAGTTAGGAAAAAGACGCTTACTAATAACGTGAAATAATGTCATTACTATGTTTCATGAAACTTTACATGTACACTTACCTCCCACCTTTAGCACTACCTTGTTTGTAATGCTTTGAATTTTTGTTCCTACATAGCAGGTATAAATTCCTTCATCCAGAAGGCTTAATCTTCTGAGAAATAGAGATGCATTCCCTTTTTGAATCTCATTATAGAAAAGGGATGTCCTGTTTGCATATCTCGGATCTTGGTTTCCCAGACGGTCACTGCCTTTGAAGTAACTGTGAACATTGTATCTATCTTGATACCTCCAGTGTATTATCACTTCAGATTCACTCTCAAATGAGGAAGGGAGGATTACATCTTCATCAAGTCTTCCAATGACGGTTTGTTCATTCATATAAATATTGCTGAAGAAAGCCAAAAGGAATGTGTCTACAGTGAAAAGCAGAGAAGTTGTGAAGAGAATTAGTGATGTGTGCTTGTTCAGGATTATACCAGAACTACCTAGAAGAACCTTCCTAGGTTAGCAGCCTGATTATTAATGGACCACATCATCAAAAACACTTGTTGTCTGGTTGTTAGAAACAAACCATAAAGCTCTGTGTTTGAGTTTTAATTTTAATTGAATATCTGTTGTATTCAGTGTAACTGGGGGGAGAATTGGTAACAGCCCAAGGCATAGAAACACTGGTTTGCTACCCATTTGATCAATAGTCTCATCTCTCTTCCAGTCCTGGCCTGGAAATCATGTATGTTAAAAGACTCCTTTTGATTTCATTCCCAGAACACATTCACATTTAACTGCTAATATAGCAATAATAAACTAGTTTATCTAGCTAGCTACAGCCAGCAGGCTCTAAAAGAATGGAATAAACTCAGCTTGGTTGGTTAAGAAACTTTTTGGAGCCTGTAGAAAACAATGCTGGGTTCAGGAATCTGATAGGAATATCTGTACACTAGATCTAAACAGGGAAGAACATGAGTAGAAGTCCAAAAGGGAAATGGAGTCACTCATTTGCTTTGACTTTAAGACTGCTCTCAGGATGTCCTGAATTGGTCAAAATGTAGGTCAGGAATATCTGGAGATAAATGTGGAAGCTCAATCCCCAGTTCTCTTGATTTACTTATTTTGTTTTGTTTTCACTGTCAACTTCACAAGTTGATTTCAAAAAGCAAAAGAAATCAACAAAATAAGGGATTTTTGCAAAGAAAATATACCCAGATACTTCCCATCATTGAAGGCAGTAATCGAACTTCTTTGATTTACAAAATATTTTAAGTAAATCTTGTGCCCTCTCTATGGATTCTAAAACATTAGGACTGGAAAGGGCCTTATTTTTTAGATAATGGAGTAACTCCTTTGGATCATGCCCAGGCCACCCAAGATGGAAGAACTGGGTGCTCAAATGCCTTTGTCACAGTCTTTATCCTCTGCCTTCCTCTCTGGGATTCTTTCTACCCTATCACGTCCCACCTCTCTTCCTCAGAGAGACTTAGTTTCTCTGCAGAGAGCTAGAGGGATGTGGCATTATGATGAGAGACAGGCACGGAAAGATGGGAAAGGTAAAGAGTGACTGTGGAGCTCCCTAATTGCTCTGCTAAACTCCTCTAATGTTTCACTGGATAATTAATAATGCCTGTCATAGGACCTAGCAAAGCTGATAACTGCCTTCTGTCAAGTGGTAAGTACCAAGCTTACACTTAAAAAAAATCAATCAATCAATCAAACTTGCCTTTCTAGTGAACTTATTTCTGGTAGCAGATAACTAGATTAGAAAGAGTCTTAATCAGAGTGGACAGAAAAAATACATATAATTTTTAATCTTCATTCAGACTTCCCGCCTGTTCCTTGCTTCTGATTAACTGATCATTTAGGATAGTTCACGATGCAATGGCTATGGAGGAAATAGCCACCTTGCATTGTGTGCTCATGTTTCTTATCTGATGATGTAAATAGCTAACACTTGTATTACAGGGGAAATTACCTTGAAATCCACTCAGAGGTGATGTGAGAATGAGGAAGAAAGACAGTACTCTCTGTGCCTTCATGTCTTGTGCAGGGCATATTAGTCATGCTATCAAAGAGAAGTAAAGTTCACACGTTATGGATTTAAAATGCAAAAGGGAATTGGAAAAGAGTAGTACATTCACATGAATAATTCTTTTGTAGCCATTAAATATGATATTGTAAAGGATGGTTCAATGGCATGGAAGGAATTTCTTAATAGGTTATAGGAGAAAAATTAGATTACAATCCAATTTCTAAATAGCAGGGTTCATTTTTTAAAAGCATACACATTTCTGCTCATAGGATGCTGACAAGACATATGACTAAATATATGAGGATGTTAAATCTGAAGAGTAGGTTTCATATCTGAAGCAATGCCTGCTACATAAGGGTGCTGAAACATGGCTCTGGAATGAATAAAGATTTGTTGTATATGCAACAGTGGTTCTCTGGATAATAGTTTGTTATGTTTAAAGCTTTCTACATGGACATATTGCTTTTATGACAGAAAATACTAAAACCAATTTCAATTCAATATTAAGTGCCAGTGGTGTTAACTATGATGTTATTTATAATCATACATAAAGAACAACTAAAACCTGAAGACACATTTTTACATATCCAATACTAGAGCAAGCCATTAAATTCATGGTTAACAGAGTTATTTAAAAATAAAAACTCAAAAAAGCAAGAAAATATAGATGGCAAAACGTGTACACACAATACTGTTTCAAGTAAGTAAAATATAACTGATTTTCCCAGATGATAGGATTAAAGATAATATTTACAGTGTAACAAATAAGTTGTTTAAAAAATAGCATATACTTGGTTTTAAAATCTCTAAAAGAACGTTTTAAAGATATAATTTGTGGCTAGACGTGGTTGATCACACCTGTAAGCCCAGCACTTTAGCAGACCAAGGCAAGTGGATGGCTTGAGGTCAGGAGTTTAAGACCAGCCTGGCCAACATGGCGAAACCCCATCTTTACTAAAAATACAAAAATTAGCTGGGTGTTGTGGTGTGTGCCTATAGCCCCAGCTACTCAGGAGGCTGAGACAGGAGAATCGCTTGAACCAGGGAGGCAGAGGTTGCAGTGAGCTGAGATTGCACCACTGCACTCCAGCCTGGGTAAGACAGTGAGACTCCGTCTCAAAAAAAAAAAAAAAAAAACAATAATAATTTGGGAGCTCTACTATTACAAGAATATATTCTATATTTGTTATGGGATATGTGATTTAAGAATGACTTAAAACTATCCTAAAAAGGGAAATTAATCATGCAATTGTCCATCTGTAACAAGCCTGCACATGTGTCTCCTAAATCTAAAATAACAATTTTTTTAAAAAAGTAAAATTAGATTTCTTAATTACATCTTATCAAAATAAAGCCTGGTAGATTAATAATTTAGAGTTTCATTTTTACATTTTAAAGACTATAAGAAAGTTATTGAAAACACAACCTTAGGAAGAAGGCCTTTTAACATAACTGTACATTTCCTATTACAGATATATCTCTATAAAAATGAAAAAAGCAAGAAAAATACAGAAATGTTTGCAATATGACAAAATTATTACTCTAATTATTTTTATTTCTCTTAGAGCAATAACTAAGATACTTGGTAAAGTCAAAAGTGCTCTAAAATCGTATTCGTTATCAAAATTAAGACCTTTATATTTCTTCCTATGGAAGTATTTGAATGTATAATATATAAAAGGATATCACAGTGATTGTTTCCGAATAGTAAGATTACAAGTAATTGTTAAACTCATTTTTCTTCTATGAAAATATGTAAACATGGAATAATACTTTTTGCCTCTGTCATTTATTAAAAACTTAAAATTTAATTACAGTCTCTTTCCAAACATTAACTCAAATTCACCTTGTTTAGTGTAACTTTGAAGCATTCCACGTCCATTGTCCTATTAGAGGTTCATCTTCCCACTGCCTAGGTTGACTCCAATATTTGCTACCTTCTCGTGAAACTGACATTCCCTTTTCCCATCTCCCTTCCAGCTGACGCTCTTACTTCATTAATTGTTGTGATTGATTATGGATACTCCCTCATCCTCCTATTGCTAGCTCAACCAACCTATTAGCATGTAGCTGCACTCTTTTTGCCTCTCCTTCTGCTCTTATCCAAGGCCAAACACTTCACTGTGCTCTACATCTCATACCTTTCTGCATTGGAGAAATTTGTCCCTGCAATCATATTCCCTTTCTACTGCATCGTCAGGATTTCTCTCTCTCCTGAATCAATTCTATAAGCATAAATGCTCCAAGCACCCATCTTAGGAACATGAGGAAAGAAAAAATTCTCCCCTTACTCTTGATTACCAATTTCTCAGCTCCATTAATTTTTTGAAATCATTGTCTAAATAGCTGTCTTCATTTCCCACTTGACAATCTCCTATCAGCTTTCGGCTCTTTTCCGCATGACATGTCATAAGCTGCCCTTGTCAGTGTCACCAAGAACACCAAAAACGGTGACATCATTTTTCCTCCTCTGACTCAACTTCACAGCAGCATTTAATGTAATTGACTGTTACCTTCCTTTGTGAAGAGAGTCTTCTTTTGGTTTCTGGAACATCAGACTCTCCTAGTTTTTCCTTCCTGACTGCTGTTCCTTCTTAGTCCTTTGTGGGTTCTCTTCTGCTTGCCCAATTTATGTGGCAATATGGAATGTTCTCAGATTTTTTACTTTCTCTCTACTCTCTCCATAGGCGAGTTTGTCTCATGACTGAATGTAATCTTCACATCAATGAATCTCAAACTTATCTACTGGGTCAAGTTCATACATTCAACTGTTCTTCTGCACTGTTCATTTAGATGCCCAAAGTTAACATGAGCCCTTATTTCCAGCTCATTCCCTTTTCCATTGTTCTATGACCCACCCCAAACACAACAAAACAGCAAAAAGTATCGTGTTCTTCCTCCAGTCTTCATCTCAATAACTAGTACCAAAGTCTTCCAGTTGTTTGGGCCAGAAACTTAGAAATCTATCTTGACTCCTCCATTCTCTCATGCCCCATATCTAATCTATTAATCAGTCTATTTGTTGTTAATGAATTAGATAAACTCCATTATCTGTCCACTTCTCTCCTATTACCATCCTGCTCTAAAGCCACTATCACTTATCTGGATATCTACAAATAGGCACGTGGCTAGTTACACCCTTTTCCTACTGTTGTCTCCTTCCAGTCTACTATCAATACAGCAGTCAAGAGTCATATTTTGAAAATAGAAGTCATTCTATAATATTCTCATAATTAAATCCCTCCAGTGGCTTCCCACCACACCTAGAATAAGATCCAAATTCTTAACCCTAGCATCCCAAGCCTTGAATACTCCGGCTTCTGGTCCTGTCTGTCACCCCAACCTTTCCCACGGCAGCCCACAAAATACATTCCAGGAGACTTGTGAACACAAGTGCTCTAATTCAAGGGTCAGCATGAGCATGAGCTGAAAATTGAGGCTTTGAGGACTATTTAAGTTTTGAATAAAATGACAAATTACAGTAACCCATTTATCATCTAAGATAAAATACTACAACTTAAAAAAAAAAATACCCAACCTCTTCCACACAAAGGCTTGATTTAGCGCTGTTGAAATAATTTCAGCATTCAGCTAAGTGAGGCAGTTAATGAGTATTTGGCCCTATTTTTATGCCTAGGTTTTATTTTTAGACATTTATTTTTTTTTCCCTCAAAAGCAGCAGAAAGTTTCCACCTTAGATTATACTGAAGTTACCCAAGTTGCAATCAGCACCCTTACAAAAGGGCTGAAATGTGAGAAGCATCTTGTTCTAGTACATTTTGGCTGGATTCCAGATGTGAGGGAGAAAGGCAGAGAGGCGGCCTCTGCAATAGAATATGGCAAAAAAGAAACCCATATGCTAAGACTAATCAGACAGAAGAGAAAATTGAGACCATTTCTACAAGCATAAAATAGCAAAAAACAGAACAACTACCCCATACCCATCTTGATAGCTACAGACTAAATTGACCACAGCCATCAGTACTAATTGTGACAATGATGATGGGAACATCACTTGCAGTTGGGGCAGATTCTCTAGCCTGCACATTAGTAACACTCAAAACCATTTCATAACGTGTATGTATTTTACAACATCATGTTGTACACAGTAAAAATATCTAATGTTATCTGTCAATATTGTTTTAAAAAGACTAGTCCTGGCCTCATAACTGCTGGTCTCAATCTGGCCAGAGCCACAGAACAAGTCGATTCTCTTTTTTGAAAAAGAAGAATGTTGTTGTTTTTAAAAAAATTTTTTTAAATTGCATTTTAGGTTTTGGGGTACATGTGAAGAACATGCAAGATTGCTGCATAGGTACACACATGGCAGTGTGATTTGCTGCCTTCCTCACCATCACCTGTATCTAGCATTTCTCCCCATGCTATCTCTCCCCACCTCCCCACCCCCATCCCTCCCCCATTTCCCCCCAACGGACCCCAGTGTGTGGTGCTCCCCTCCCTGTGTCCATGTGTTCTCATTGTTCAACACCCGCCTGTGAGTGAGAACATGTGGTCACTCTCATCAGAATGCCAGTTCACAAATGTTCTGTATTCCTTTGAGGAGACACAGCTTCTAGGGTGCTACATTCTCCTCTGCATTGTTTTACTTTCTGTGCTTCGCCACAGTGCTCATGGCGCTGAGCTAGTCTGTAAAAGACTTTTAACAAAGGAAAACTCTTTGTAGCATCCTGGAGCGGCTCCTTAGCATCCACTTAGATTTTAATAGGATTGACTGTTTAGATAGAAAAAGAACAAAAGAACAGTATCAGGATTACCCTCTATTTACTCAAAATCTTTCTCCTGATGTTCTACAGTGAAATTCCACCATTTAGGGGATTTATACACGTACGGAAACTTCGATGTCTAGGGATACTGTCTTTGCCTTCAGTTCCGTTTTGGTATGTTTTTGTTTTTGTTGTTGATTTTGGAAATCAGGCTAAGATTATGTGCTAACACATGTTGTGGGAGGTAAAGAGGTGCAATTGCAGGGCAGGAAGAGCAAAGGGAAAGGGGAAGTGAAACAAGGAAGAATG